CGTATTGTGTCAAAAAGTAATAAAAGCACAGTCCTCAACATCGCCTAATTGAGTCATTTATCATTCTCGTAAAACCGCCAATAAAATGACATCATTTTTTCCATTGTAATTATTTGTGTAAATTTTTACAGCCGCTAAACAACAATACCCATTATTATGACATTCAAAACCGTCGAATTATTAAAATACTTTAATGGATATATCCTTCGGAATTTTTCACTATGCTAATTCGCTCAATTCCGTCTTCATTATCAATAAATCGTCTTTATCTCCGCATTTCCATTCCGACCCAATTTATGCAAATCCCACGCAGAGGAGTGCTAAACCTCTTAACCAAGATATTTCTTTGGAATCGACGCAACAAGGCCGACAAACTTAACATTGACAAACATGCACAGTACCATTCGAGCTCAAAAAGCCGCCATAACACTGCCTCGATAAATTTCTTCATGTCTTTGAACTGTGGAATGGTTTCGCGATAAAAATACACAACACTAGCATAAATCCCAGCAATTGCAATATGAGGCGTGTTGTTTATTTTTAAGCGGCAAAAATGGGACAATGCAATTTATTGTGCACTATCGGTGCAGGCGGATTAATGGAGCTCTGGTCTATATATGACAACGCGAACGTTGTGAAAAACTTCTGCGAATGCGTTAGATAATAGATTTGTAAATCAGTTTTAGTGGAAAATGACGTGTCCAAGACTTGGTTTTGCTAATTTTAGTCAAAATAAGTGTAAAAGGTAAAAGCTGACTTTAATGATAAGTTGAGTAGTTCGAAAAAGTTTTGTGCATAAACGAAGGAAGAAAAACCGCACTTCTAATAAGTCTAGTATTGTCCGATCTAAATCAGCTAGAAAAACAGATGTTCCAAAAGAGTAACAAACCATGTGACGTTTAGCAACTTTACAGATGTATTTCGTCACCTTAGAACTGGTTTGCCGCATATCCAGATCGCGTCCGAGGGATTTTCGCCTCTACTGCTTGGTGCAGATTTGCCGCATGTCGCACTTGGGCGAAGCGAAACATAGTTTAGATTCAGTGCTGATTTGCCGCATGTCCAAGCAGAAATCGATACAGTACCGTTATCCGTTTTTACGTACTTCCTTGCTGTTTTGCTTTTCAGCGTTAGGTTTGGGGTTGGGAAAGAAATCGTATTCAACTTCACGCGCAGAACAATAAGAATAATGTGAAATAAATAAAAAAGAGACTTAACAATTTTGATGAATCTGAAATTAAAAAAAAGCAACTGTAATTTGTGCAACTCTTTTTCTGTTGTTATCGATGTTACAAATATTTTCAAATTATTAGATTCGAAATTTTACAAATTTAAATTTCAAATAGATTTGTTGTTCGATAAACAAATAATTTAATTTTTTACTAAACAGTAACATTTTATTAACGATATTTCTACATCAATAATCACAAATAATAGATACATTTTTAATTTTTTAAATTAAAATGTTGTAAAAGTAATATGAAAATTAAAATTTCGAAGCAAAATCTGTTTAGGTGGATTTTGCTTCGAAATTTATTACTGGAACGTTTACAAAAATCAGCTTTTGACATAAAATGCTTGCAAATTTGAAACAGAATTGGAATGTTTCTTGACAATCATGCCTAATACATTTTTGACTTGTATCTTTTAAAAAGAATTATTTCCGAATTTATAGCTATTTACAATTTACGACTTACTTCAAGAACAAATTCCGTATTAGAATTTTACCTATAATAACTAAATAGATGTATGTTGTTAATTTATATAAGGTACCTTACATCGAAACGAGTAATTTGTTTTTTAATATGACATTGCCTTTCTTTATCATTCTATTTGTCTAACAATTATTGTTGTGCAATTATACGCGTGTAAATAAAAATAACTTTACAATAACTTATTTATGGGTAAATTTTTTACCAATTAATTTAACTGGATGGTTATATGTAATGGTAATAATAGCCGCATAAAATTCACTCACTGTTTAGGTATACCAGATATCAAAAGCTATTAAATCCAAATGTTATTGTTTATTTTTTTATGTCTCGAGCGCAAGCTAAGGAAGTATTGTAATCAGGTTCATCGGGCGACTGGCTACTTTTATGGCTTCTCAACGTTTCATGACTCCTATAATGAGAAAACATAGGTCTCGCGTTTCCAGTTGATAAAACGCTGACCAACATTTGTAATCATCCTCCCCATTATATAACGTCATCTCCAACTTTTACAGCAATAAATGTTATATAAATTTTAAAAAATAACATACTTTTTCATTTGTTGTTTATTGAGATTTTACCCTAAGCATCCAGATTGAATTGAATTACCATAACCCTAATTTCTTGAGATTTTGAAAACAGGACATACTACATACATAAAGAAAGTTAAAAGAATTTGAAGTAATGTAATGATACTCTTTTTACATCAACATACTATTATTTATCAATTAATTGGGCATCGTCCAAAATACTGTTCATAAATTATAAGTGCAGGAAGTTTATGCAAAAACATGCAAATACATTTTTTGCGTATAATAATATGTATTGCTTTATTATTAAGTATCTACTCATTTATAAGAATTATTAAAATTAGTAAAAAAAAGTATTCAAGTCTCTGTCTAGTTTAATACCTTACCTTATTAAAATAATAAGTTTAATCAATTATGTAGTTAGCAAACAATGACGTTTAATTTATACTTAGTAGGGTTCACGGCATGTTTAATTCGGAGTTATAATTTGAGAATATAATTTACCCGTTTATTTATTTTTGTAGTTTAGTAGTACTTCAGCAAATTTAGAAAACTGTATGTTATTTAAAAATACGTGACAAATCACGAGGCCAGGCAATCTAGAGATCTGACTGTTGGTTTGCGCGGGAAATACTGCATACTTTTTAGATAAAAGGAGTCTATGATAAGCGCACGTAGGAGATCATAGACAGAGAGCTAATATTTAGAGCTAATGTATTGGAAAGAAATAGGACAAGTTTACGTGCGCACACCACAGCCTCCCTTTCTTCTCTAAACAGTTTGGGATCATACCACAGTATCATAAATAATAATTGACAAAGAGTTCGCAAAGGAATCCAACGGAAATATTTATACAATTGTTTACAACTACCAGTACAAATAATTCTTTCATTTTCAACTGAAAAGCGTATAACTATATTAAGTACTAGATATTATGGAGTTAGGGGTAATCAAATAGATTTGGGTTGCAGTCAACATAATTGTCACTGATACATAAGACATGGAAACGAATGATTTATTTCCAAATCCAAATATACTGCATTTACAGTTTTAAGCAGTATCACTGCTAATTTTCTCTGGTTGCCCGACAATAGCTACTTGTAGTCAATATCCACGTAATGTAATAAAATACTGGAATCTAATTGTTTGAGACAACAACCTATTTTTACCCGAGTGTTCTTTATCAGTTTGAATATTTTATATAAAAAAATTACATATTAAGCTGCAATTTTAGTAGGACTGCAGCGAGTCAACGAGCCGCCTTTACTCCGCCAATGCAAAGAAAATATCATTTTATTATCCTTTGTAAAAGTAGTTCCTTTCTGTAAAACACATTTAAATTTGGTACTCCGTATTTCGTTCACAATTCACCATTTAACAATGGAAATTGACAATGCAATATTTGGATTCTACAGTTTTTAGGAAAAATGAATGACTGCAATGAGTTTTATCAAATGTAGATTTTATATAAAAATAAAGAAAAATAAGTCTCTTTATTTTAAAAATATTTAGAAAAAATCGAATCAAAACATCAATAATTTAACATTCATTGTTCGTTATACTTAGTTAACTACTTCACCACGAGATTTCTAATATCGTTTCAATTTTTCATTTATTTCACATTACGAGTCCTTGCCGTATTTCTTGTTCTGCGCGTGAAGTTGATTAAGAAATCTTAATCTTAATTATCTCTGAAAAATGTATCTATTATTATCTGTAATTATTGATGTGGAAATATCATTTCCACAAATACGAATATAGGTATGCAGCATTATGAATTTTGTTGACTAAAATTTTAGAGAAAATAAGGTCAATCATTTCCGAGAAATCATTAAACAAAAATGTTACTGTTAAGTAAAAAATTAAATTATTTGTTTAACGAGCAACAAATCTATTTGAAATTTAAATTTGTAAAATTTCGAATCTAATAATTTGAAACTGAATCTTTCTTAAAAAAAAAATTGAAAATATTTGTAACATCTATAACAACAGAAAAACAGTTGCACAAATTACAGTTGCTTTTTTTTAATTTCAGATTCATCAAAATTGTTAAGTCTTTTTTATTTATTTCACATTATTCTTATTGTTCTGCGCGTGAAGTTGAATACGATTTCTTTCCCAACCCCAAACCTAACGCTGAAAAGCAAAACAGCAAGGAAGTACGTAAAAACGGATAACGGTACTGTATCGATTTCTGCTTGGACATGCGGCAAATCAGCACTGAATCTAAACTATGTTTCGCTTCGCCCAAGTGCGACATGCGGCAAATCTGCACCAAGCAGTAGAGGCGAAAATCCCTCGGACGCGATCTGGATATGCGGCAAACCAGTTCTAAGGTGACGATTTATTTGTGACACGTGAGGTGTTCCAACCTCCAAAACTCCCACCTTGCTCATTCTTTTTGGCTTCGGATGTGCAACGGCAACTGCATCGCTACGAGTTACGATGCTTAAAACACGTGTACGCTTATGTAAACACTAAACACGAGTTCGGTTTTTGTCAGAGACCACGGCAAGTTTTTGAAATGAGTTCAAGATTATTTTTGTAGGATGCGATTCACCTGGCACTCGAAAGTGCAAACGTATTTTTCGATAATTGTATTAATAGAGTACTTACTGCAGTGCTAAAGTTAGGGATTACTGGTTGGAAAAAGTGTAGATTGAATTTGCGTCACGGCTCTTTTGAGACGGGGATTTTGGACAGTAATTTATGATTTAAATTTTTTTGCGGAGCGTCAGACTTACTCAAGTGCTTGAAGTGTGTGCTTTCGGTTTGGGGTCAGTTGATTTCCTGTGGGTACAGTTTGCTGTTGGTTATCTAAGTTTTTTTAAATTTTTTCGTCTTACTGTAACACTAGCCTGTTTTTCTCAATTGGTCAGTTGTTTCTAGATGAGATTGCTCAAGCGCTAGCTGTAACTCAGCCTGTTGTTATAATAGTGCAAGAAATAGTAACAAGTAAGTAACTTTCTAGTCCAAAATTAATGTTTCAGTATTTACTTCACTATTTTATTTATGTTTATTGAAATTCAAATATTTTTACTTCCCCAGTGTTTTTCATATTTTCTCCATATTTCATAGCTTCTAGAATATGAAAAAGTAGATCTCCCGTTTTGTATATCTGGTCTTACTCTTTCTGTTAGATTACTGTGAAATGTCAGGTGCTAAAACGCTGACCAACTCTTCGTCCTATCATTATTTAAAAATTTAAAAATATACAAAATACCATGCTTCTATACATATTTCTGGTTTATTAATCACGCTGGATGTTTGGAAAAAAGTCAAAATTGTAGAAAAAATTTTACAATTTACTTTGCCCCTGAAATTTTCCAAGCGTGAACATCATTAATCAAATTTTATCTATTCCTACTTTTAAAAAACGTTCTCTCATCTTAAAACTAAGGCCTCCATCTGTGCAATCAGTGCTTCAGAGACTGTTACTACTTCTTCTGAACTGTTTTCTTTGTAATAGTAACAACTGTGTTCTCTTGTCCCGCAGATGGAACTGCAAAATTGGACTCGCGCTCTTGTCGCAGTAACCCTCCTAACCCTCGCCTCCGCCGCCTTGGACGACTACTTCGATCTCCCCGGCCCCTACTGCCGAGACCGAGGATGTTGTCCCGGTAGACAGGACGACTGTTCAGTCCCCATTTTAGGTAAGCGTGTAGGTTTATTCAAACAACAGCTAAGTGCTCCCTAACCAAGGCTCGGCTTTTCATTCACTCAAAGCTCTTGGGAAAGGGTACACTTTGACATTTCAGGAAATAACGAAGTCGTTTTTGATGAAGGTACGTTATGTTACTGCGACGATTTTTGTAACCGCACCAGGAACGAAGATTGTTGCCCCGATTTTTGGCCACACTGTAAGGGAATCATGCCGCCCGAGATCCCAGGACCCATTTTGGGCTGTACATATGAAGGCATCGTGTATCCGGTGAACAAGGTGGTGAAGAGGAACTGCAACGATTGGTGAGTGAATATTTGGTTTGTTTTTATTTAAATTAATTTCGGAAAAACTAGTTGGCTAAAACTGTTGTCTGCTAGCAAAGCAGATAGTATATGGTCTTCGTAAAAAATATAAGTAAGGTATACCTACAGGGTGAACAATTGTAATTTCGAAAGTGTTTAAATATGAAAGTAACAATGCTGTTGTTTTGAAAAGGAAATATTAAAGTTTTTTGACTGTCCATTTTAATAAATACTTTAATTAGGGTCATAAAATTTAACAAACCATGTTCTAAAATTCAGCCAATGCAGTATATCCGATTTCGACTGATTCAGGTTAAGTCTGAATTTTGGTCACATATTTTTGATTTCATCCCACTATGTATATATTTTTTCGGTAGCAAATGTACAGCAATAAGCAACACCACCGCTGAAATGTTGTGTGAACAGAACGCATGTATCGTCGATCCCATGATTATTGATTTCGTTAATAACAATTATGGTGTTGGCTGGACTGCTTCTAACTACTCAGAATTCTGGGGCAGAAAACTAGAAGAAGGCATCAAACTGAGGTACTGCAGTTTTAGCGGAAACAGGAAGACCAAACATAATTTTTCATTTTTCCAAGGTTGGGCACTCTTCAACCTCAGCGATTTGTGATGAGAATGACCCCAGTGAGGCGAATTTACGATCCCCATTCCTTCCCCCGGGAATTCGATTCGGAGATGAAGTGGCCCGGATTTATCACTCATGTTCAAGACCAAGGATGGTGTGGCTCTTCGTGGGCCATTTCCACTGCCGCTGTTGCTTCCGACAGGTATTTTTTTGTAGTTTTGTCACAACTTATGTTGACCCTGAATAAATAAATTTAAAACTTTAATAAATATTATTACGCAATGTGTATTCTTTTTCCAGATTTGCAATTTTGTCAAAAGGAAGAGAGAGAATAACCCTTTCAGCTCAGCATCTAATCTCCTGTGACAGAAGAGGTCAACAGAGCTGTAATGGGGGTTATTTGGATCGGGCTTGGTCTTACATTCGTAAATTCGGTTTGGTTGATGAAGATTGTTTCCCCTACACTGCTTCAAACGAAAAATGTCGCGTCCCAAGACACGGAGATTTGTTGACCGCAAAATGCAGGCTTCCGCAGTTCGTCGACCGGAAGTCTAAGTATAAAGTTGCCCCTGCGTATAGAATTGGAAATGAAACTGATATCATGTTCGAGATTTTGAATTCGGGGCCTGTTCAAGGTAAGTCCGGCACTTTTAACCTTTTTATTTTAGTTGTTTCGTACGTTAAAATTTATTTGTCGTAAAAATATATTCTGTACGCTTATGTCACAGATTTTTGACATTTATATTAAACATTTATAGTTTGTTTATAAATGTGAATGAGATAACACAACTGTCACTGAGGAAAGCAGTCTAAAATAACACTCCTTTGAATGTATTTCATAAAATAAATATTTAAAAAATAAATTCAACGGAAAAAGTCAAAGGATTATGGTAAAGAAAATATAGTAACCAAATTTCCAAATATACAGTGTACCAGAAGATAAATGCAAACGCTGTAAATTATTTTATGAGGGGTATGTTGTACCCACAACCTGTAATAAAACCATTACGAGCTTTTCGATTTGCATTTACTAGAGAACAAATACGGTCTTGGAAAGGTAGCAACTAATTTTGATTTACAGCTTTACCCAGGGTACAGCTTCGAAAGCGACTGGAGATTTTGCAGTGGCAAACTCATGATTGGAGTCATTTGCATTTATCTTTTAGTGCACTGTATATACATTTATACTTATAGACGCTATATTTTTGCCGAATTTAGATTCAGTTTCAAACATTAATGTTGACAAAAATTGATGTAATATTTTGACTGATTTAAAAGTTAAAACAATATGTGAAATACGGAGAACAAATATTTTTTTTTACTACGTTCCTTTCTCATTTTGATTCAAACTATTTTGATCAAATTCTGGTGCATATACTTTAACAAATAAAAAAACGGCTAAATTCTCTAATCCGTTTTAATGCTGCAAGAAGGTGAATGTCAAGGAAAACCGATACATATTATTTCTTGACATGTTTTTAGTTAAAAGGATTATTATTTTTAAATATCAATAACAAAATTGTTTCTATTATACAAAAATTTTGTCTGTAACTCATTCGCGAAACTTTTAGCGCGCTCGGCTGATTTTTCAGATCGGTTACGCCTCGTCAGAAAAACTTTCTCGTCTCGTTGTACGCCAAAGTACAAATTTGTTTAATTAGCAAGTTAAATAAAAAAAATACAGATACTTATTTATGTTTTTTGACATTTACCTACAACTTCTATTTTTAAAAAATTTCAGGCAGTAAAAACAAAAATGCCTGCAGCGCAAACTATTCATAATTTTCTGTTTACATTAAATAGAGTGACATATAATCGCACTAAATTGGTTATAAGTAGGTAGATTATACATTTTTTTTCTAATAATGTCCTACTAATGGAGTTATTGTGGGAGAATTATTATGATTGAGCACCCACCTGCTAGCCAGAACAACGCCAATTATTTTATTTTAAATACTTTAGTGCTTATGATTATGAATTATCAATTTTTACAGTATATATTTTTTAATTTTTAAGATTTACGCCATCTTGAAAGTGTCTTCAGATTGCAAAAGTTAAAATCTTAAAAACAATCTGCGTATTACTCTCAAACTAAGTTTTTTTGACACATAAACGATTCAAATTTGGGTTAAACAATGTGAGAAAATATAACATTAAAAATGTCAAATAACTGTAAAATATCGAAAATATCAAAAATGTCCAAACTTTCAAAAATCAAAAATACACGTTTAGTCATTACGTAAACTTAATCACAAAGGTCTAAACAGTTACAATATTTGAATGCTTACAATGACATGTTAATCCATAAAAAAATTCAAAAATGCCAAAATAATAAATAAAATTATTAAATATATCAGAAAATTTCGGACATTCGTGTCCAGCAAATAAAAAATCGTGTACCTACCTAAACAAACAAAAAATCGCATATTTCAGCAATTTTTAAGGAAATATATAAAATTTTGTTTTTAAGTTCGGAACAAAGAAGAAATATATATATTTTTTTTGGCAGAAGGGATTATTTTATAATACAACTCGAAGATTATTTTAAAATTTTGAAAGTTTTTAGACAGTTGTAGAAAAAATATTGTGCCCACTTCGTTGGAAAAAGTTTCCTAGCGAGACATTAATCTAATCTAGAATTTCTCCTAAAATAAATATTTACTCGTAAATAAATAAATAAATAAAAAATCTTTTTATAGCAACCATTAAGGTTTACCACGACTTCTTCACATACAAGGGCGGTATCTACAAGCACTCTTCCGTGTCACCAGACGACAGAACAGGCTACCACTCAATCAGAATTGTAGGATGGGGCGAAGAATATACTTCAGAAGGTCTTAGAAAATACTGGGTAAGTATATGGCAAAGTTAAACTCTCCAGAATATTTTTTCCCAAACTAAAAAATTACCCCATTTTTTCAATTTCAGAAAGTGGCCAACAGCTGGGGTCCAGCCTGGGGCGAAAACGGCTACTTCCGCATCATCCGCGGCGTCGACGAGTGCGAAATCGAATCATTCGTCCTCGGAACCTGGCCCGAAATCGAAAACAAACTTCTCCTGCAAAACGAAATCCCTCGAGTCAACATATAGATGTAGGTGCCATTTGGACGTGTTCATCTCGAAAATTGCCATTTACTTCGTAACTGCCATGTTATGTGTTCTGACAAATCTGCAACTGTTATTAAAAACGCCATCCTGTTTTGTATTTATTGCTGCGGGTGACGGTAAAGCACTCGTTTCTAACCTAATTTCCGTGGAAAAGTCGGGGTTAGTGGCCCGGAGCCGATGTTTGACATCTCGTTTAGGAAAAATAATGTTGGTATTCGAAAAAACGCTCATTTATCTTGCGTGTTGTAAACATGCGCGCGTAATAAAAATTAATGCGAAGACATTCTAATTTATGTATTTTTTTTTCGTAAGTGGTGCTTTATCGTCACTCTGCCATTACATTATGTGTGAATACTAATTGATCGATGTAATTGTAGCAAAAAAATAATGTTCGTTTAAGCTGATAGAATCATAATATATTTTTATATGTTAGTTAATTATTAGACTATTTTAACAAATATAATCGGTTTTTTATTTAAATGCGGTTACGCCACTGCTCTTCGGGTGTTGTGTAAAAGAAGTAAACAATGACAGTGAGCCGACGGAAAATGTCATGGTTCTCGCGTCAGCGTAAATCATAAGCCGCAGGACAGACTGACGTTGTAATTTAGAATTTATGTTAAATTATTGTTGCATTGCGACACGTAGAATGGTTACGCTGAAAGCTGCGATTTGTATCTCGAGAGAAAATAACATCGTAGACGTGCATCGTGAAATTTGAGAAAAATGTAATAATAATAGTGATGCAAATACGGTAAGTATTTTAATTTTGCTGTACGAGGAGGAAAAGCCGCAGAGCACGAGTAGATGATGGGTAGGTTGCTGGAAAGTCCCAGCGGCGTCGCCAAAGGGACAATAAAAATTGTCGATCTAGTTAATAAGTAAAACAAAAATTTTGTTATTTTTACATTTAACCACCTTATAAAAACAAACTTATAAGAAAAGTAGACCCTTTGTAACAAATAATGACCATAAAAAACGAAAACTGAAAGTACTGTGTTAACTTAATCCTGCCAAAATGAGGCATGTGCACAAAATTATAAAACCCGCGAAAAACTTAAAATTTGGTCACCAAAAAATAGAACTGTACGTCGTGTTTTTTCAAATGCAAAGTGGTAAACCAAGGGTGGAAAAATGAACTTAGAACAAAATATGGAGAGCGAATCGTTTATTCCTCCGTCCTAGGGATGGAAAAGCTGTGAAATAAGTCTGAAAGGACAAACATTTGAATATAACAAATTTACCCACACAAAAAAAAATCTTAACTGGATGGTCCTACTCAAGTTATGACGATGATGTGCCACAAATTTAAACGACGGCAGTATATAAAAAAATACCACGCTAGGTGACCTAATTGTTGGCGGTCAAATCGGGTACTGCAAATAAACATTTATATGAACAATGACAATGGGAAGAAAAAACCCTCCGAGTGCCGCCTCGACACTCTGCTTTTGCCACGAGATTCCGTGCGTTTATCGAATCCTCACATCATATAAAACGAAGCACCTTTAAAATAAACACAGCAGGCATATATTAAATATGGTCAAAGTCAAAATAAGGTAGTCTCGGAAACGCTTCGCTTGGAAGCGGCTTAATTTGAGAATAAACGTTCAGATTCAAGCTGTACGAAAATAACCCATCCATGTGATACAAAATAAACAAACGATGATATTAGTTTAACTGATGATAATTTTCACAATAGATCAAGATTTAGTCGTTTAACTACCATAACTGAAATATTTTAAATCTCAAGAGAGGTGTTATGAAATGTAAATAATATAATAACTCAAGGAAAATCATGCAACTTTCGATGTCGGTATTAAAATAAGTTTAGCTGACATAATTGAATTTCCGCCACGTATATTACGTGAACATTTACACTGTTGATATAAAATTGCGTTAGGATCATGAACGGTTTAAAAACTGAACGTGAATCTTGAAGTTACAAACAGTGAAACTAAACTGACGAGTTGACACACGTGTCAATAGTTTTACAATGTTTCAGATTATAAAATGGTTACTAATTATATTCGTTGGAGGGACCGTGGTGTCAAATGCGATTTCATTTTGTTTCAAAAAACGCTCTTTGGTAAAATTACAAACTAAATGAATGACCTTCCAAAAATGCGTTGCCGTCCAACCTAAAGGTGGTAGTCCACAAAGTGCGTTAAATAGGTACTCTAAACATGTATGGTTTTATTTTTCAAATGCGGTTTCGCGGTGTTTGTTTTTTTTTCGGGGCGAAACTTAATTATTAAATCGGCATATTGCAGTAACTATAAAAAAAACTAATAAGATAAACTGAGTTGAAAAGATCGTTCATACTTTATAAACCTATTATGAGCCAAACCAAATGTTCATTGTCCAAATAATTCTTGATTTTCATTTTTATGATTGTCACTATGTTTGTATTGATGAGGCTGATACGTGTTTAAACTCCATATTAATTTTAATAATAATGAAAAAACTTTCAGAGTTTAAATAATATATTCGTAGTCACTGCTACACGTGATTCGGTACACAGTACCGTCTTCAGGCAGAAGAGAAACTGGGTTTTTACAGAGCTATTCCTGAATTTATACCTGATTTAACAATAGTGTTTACAAATTTATGTTAAGTAAGGGAGATTTGTTTATTTCGGTTTGGTCGTTCATTAGTGTATTTAATCTATTGTACCTATTTATTTCTTATCCAAGAACAGCATAATTTCAACGACGAATTCAAAATTTTACACATAGAAAATAAAGGCGCAAAATTAAACGCGTTAGAATGTCTGGAAATAAATAGGTACAATAGATTAAATGCACTAATGAACGACCAAACCGAAATAAACAAATCTCCCCTACTTAACATAAATTTGTAAACACTATTGTTAAATCAGGTATAAATTCAGGAATAGCTCTGTAAAAACCCAGTTTCTCTTCTGCCTGAAGACGGTACTGTGTACCGAAACACGTGTAGCAGTGACTACAAATATATTATTTAAACTCTGAAAGTTTTTTCATTATTATTAAAAAAAAATAATAAAAAAAAAGATTGTTACTATACTACTACATGATTATAAATGAAAAAACTCCATTTTTCCAACAACTCGGCTGCAAAATAGTGAAACCCTTTCCCTCTTGTGTCATTTTAGATTTTTTTCTTGCGATTCGTTGCACAGAAGACCCATTTTATACGTCCATGCTTCATTTGAGAGTATAAATGCATTTTAGTAACCGCCAGTCGTCAAGGTCTACGGCATTCCGGATTAAGTTGTTTTTTGGCAAATTCATGTAAGTTCTAAAAGACTGCCTTTTCATATCCTCTTCCCCTTACATTGTACCAAATGTCAGTTTTTACTAAATTAGCTTCCATCTGTATTTTTCATGTCCCATGGTTCGTTCTGTTTAAAAATTGAAGATAAAGGGTCGCCAACCTGTTCGATTATAGTGTGTTTTAGCTCATGAACGAAGTGAGCAATTCTGTTTCACGTTCCAGAATGTTATTTCCTCTATTCGAGACCAGTTTTTCCTTAAAAGATCTTGCACCAGCGTCAGACCATTCCTTTCTTTGTCTTTGAATTGCTTCAATGCTGTGTTGTTTTCTTTAGAAATGTACTCACCGCAATGGGAAATTGGTGACGTCATTTCAAGAATTGACTTAATAGACCTTGTTTCAAAAGTATGATCTTGATGAGCAACGTAGAAACGTTGACTAAAAATATGGTACTTTAGTAAAATACTGTAATTATTTTAAAAATGTGTAGTCAAAAACAGATAAATAGTTTTTCTCTTTTAATTGAATTTCTAAAAAGAAACATAAGTAGAAGTAGAAAATATTTAAATAAATTTCTCATGTGAACCCTCTACATGTAGGAACTTTTTTTACCTACACTGTAATTACATCATAAAAATTCCATGTAATTTCGTTGTAGATTTTTAACTTTTATTTCTACTTATTTCAATAAAATAAAACCACATCTCAGCTTCAAGAGATAGCGGGACCTGCAGACCAAAATAATCAATAAAGCCCATTTGTTTGTATCTCCACACAACGTAGTTACCACCATGTCCGCACACCACAAACCCGATTATTATGTACTGATGTGCAAGAAAACTCCGTACATCACCAATGGACAAACTAATACGGCCCGTTTTCACCCTCGAATTAAATTACAAACTCGTCCCTGGTCTCGTCACTATTGGAAAGTATGATGGAACCCACCCCTGTCTGACGGCCGCAACCACAGCCGACAAGGTACAAAAAGACCAAGCACTTCATTTATTTATTTGTGTTTGTATGATCACCTCTCTGTAATACTACATCATTAGTTTAACTAGACATATCCAACTTTAATAAAGATTACGAACAAAATGTCAAGAGTTATAACATAAACACTACAGTAGTTTCAAAATCAATAGTTTAGGTCATGAAGGAAGTTACTTCTGCGAATTATGATTTTTCTAAAAGTGTATAATTTTACCATTGACACTTCCTTTTTGTCTGAAGAGGGGTTTCCATTTTAGAAAAATTTTAGTGACGTCTTATAGCTGTGACGTCCGTCACTTTTAAAACTACTCTCCTTAATTCCGACCTTCATTGTAAGTTTCTATTAAAAATTAACCAAGAATGGGCAATCATACTTTAAATCTTTTATTAAAAAAATCGATCCCAGGTTGAGCCTCTCACACATATCGTTAATTTATCTATAGAAGTAGACCTATTTCTGACTAGGCTTAAAAAGGTAATTCCTCTAAGTAGGTACAAAAAATAAGGGTCTCTGGATAATATTGCCAATTACAGAGCCATCAAATTTTGCTCAAACTTATTGAAAATAATTGAGCTGATTGTCGGTGAACACCTAGTCAAATCGTACAATAAATAACTTATTATCTGAAAAAAAGTGTGGACACAGCTTTGCATGATTTTAAAGTTTGATAATATCAGATTATGAAAAAAGTTAAACAACTCCTGGTGTTTTTAAGCAAATTTCACCAAAAATTTTGATTATCTAAACCACAAAATGTAATGTGAAGGTTGTAGTACTAAACTTGTTCAATAGCTACTTAATGAATATACAACAACAAATTCAACTTCACATTATTATGTCATGAAAAAAATGTATCCGTCTGAGCGCTCCTCAAGGTTCAGTTTTAGGACCATCAGACAGTTTTGTTATTTCTTACGTGGATGACACGAACTTGTTAATTCGTTCTAACACTTAAACAGCTGAAAAATGTTTATGCTAAATTAATCACTTGGGTTGAGCATAACAAGCTAGTAGTCAATAACGAAAAAACAAAATGTGTGTTTTTAGAAATATAAACTCAGTTGCTCTTGAACCGATTCCATATTTTTAGAACATACGAGTATAAATCATCTATGTAATAGACTGGCAAAAACTTGTTATACATTGGAAATGCCAATAAGGAATTTATTTAGCTAGCGATTGTAAAACATTTATATCATGGACACTCTCATGGCATTATATCAAGAACATCATTATTAGAGTGGGGACATAATTCTAGTGCATATCAAAAAAAAAAGGATCAGTTTTTAAAGCTCTAAATATTCTAACTCTGCATGTCCCATATATTTATGATGGGGAATTAGTTCCTCAAAAGCATCAAACCCTTTTTCAGAAATTTTGCACTTCCGATATTACTATTTCTGTGTACTGCATTTTGTTTCATGTATAGTTTCAGATTTTTTCTTACGAATCATTGTATCTGTAAATTGTCCGTACATTATTTCTACTTTGTTTTCAGATCTTGATCCACAGTCCTCACCGCAAAAACCCTAACATAGTCGGACGAATCGTCTGGTCGGAATCCAATCGCGAAATCGCCACCCTCAACATCAACCAGTCAATCTCCGCTTTAGCAGCAGGAGTCCTACTCCCAGACGACGACAAAGACATCCTAATTATAGGCACAGAAACTCACATTCTAGCCTACCATGTCCATGACAACAAAGACGTCTTCTACACAGAGTGTCCAGACGGTGTAAAGGCCATTACCATGGGTACTTTCAAGGACTCCAAAAACCAGATTCTGATGGTTGGGGGGAATTCGTCGGTGCATGGGTATGACCATCAAGGGAACGAGATTTTCTGGACGGCTGTGGGGGATGTTGTGACGTCGCTTATCTTGATGGACTATAACAAGGATGGTTCGAATGAGGTAGGAGTTGAAGGGTTGTGGTCCGGTAATGTTTTCTTTGATTTTAGTTGATCGTGAGCTCGGAAGATTTCAATATTCGTGTTTTTAAAGGTGACCAGATTATAGCAGAGCATGTGGAAACGGAAGTGGTGACTGGTTTAGCAGTTTTGCCGGAAAATAGATTCGCGTATTCGGTTTCGAACGGAACGGTTGGGGTGTACGAACAGGATGTTCGTCTGTGGAGGGTCAAGGTACGATTTCTTTAGGTTTGGTTATCGTTTCTTGAGAATTTGAACTGACAAATATAGACATATAACATGAATCATGGTGGAATACGTGACAAGAATTTGTGTCTGTAAAATGTAATCTGCTACAATTTTATATTATAATCTTATAGGAAACGGATATACTTCATAAATAACAATTTTATTAGTCACAAATTTAGTTAGTAACCAAAATCTTGCTTATGAATTTATTTTTCTTATCTTAAGTAATATTTTCTAAGAGATGTTTTTAATATTCGGGGAGGGGGAGATGTAATTAAAGTGAGGTAAAATTTTCGATAAATTTTCAGGTTTTGGGGTTCTCTGGGTATGTTTACGTGATCTATATACAAATTATACCTCAAAAACTTTTTATGTCACTGTAATAACAAGAACACATAAAAATGTTTTCCAAGTTCTGATATGGATCTAAATAAATTTTGTAGCAAATTATTAAATGAAATTATAATATAAAAATTGGTCATATTCATTTATTAATTTTTTTGTAAAGATAAAAATTTTATGTTATACTACTCTATGAATTTCAGAGAAATTAGAAACGCTGTTTTTGAAATAAATAAAAAAAATTAACGGATTGTTTCTTAAAAATTTAAAAAGATGATTGGGTTTATATATTTAAATAACATAAAATTTCACTTCAAGACATATATAAAATTTTATATTTATTTAAAAATGTTTTGGAATGTCATCAGTTTCTTTACTAAAATAATGTCAATCTTTCATTATCCTTTATATTATTGTTTATATATATTTTTATTGTAACCCTTACACAATGAAACCAAAAGGGTTGAATTATTAAATGACAGGGTAAAAGAACATACGATCCTGTATATTTCAGGAGCATTTCTTAACAAACTTTATGATAAAGTCGTCAACTTTTGGCATTACTAGCAACAGCAAACATCAGTGCATCTCGAAACATAATTTTCAACAAAGATTTATACAATACATTTTCAAGATGATGTCATCAAGTTTCGAATGAGTTCGTTACATAGGTTCTGATACAGATCGTAGAATTTAATTTTGTACATTTTATTTCTGTTTACAATAACCTGTCTATATGAAGTTAAAAACCCAAAAAATGTATACGTATATACATGGTGTTTCAGTTAAAGTTGCGAGGCCTTATTATACAGGGTGATTTTTTTTAACCTGAAACTTTCAAATATCTTGAAAAATATGCATTCTACGTAAAATATTTAGAATCAAAATTTCATCATTCCATGGGGGAAATAAAATGGTGATAAAATTAGTTTTTCTGTCATACTCCTTGGATGTGGGGCGGGGGGATACTTTGAAATCTTAAATAGTAGCCCCTACTTTTTAGTACAGATTTGGATTCTACGACTATAAATAGTACGTACAATTAGTCTGAAACATTTTTTTCAATTCATGACAAATGGCGATTAAGTTGATAAAAAAATATTATAAACATAAAAAAATGAAATAAAGGATTACCACCATTTTACAACAGTTTGAATATTTTGCTGTTTTTTAGTCCAAGCACTTTTCCATATCCATGCAAAACTACGACCTGCTGGGCCAAGGTTCGACCCAACTAATCACCGGCTGGTCCAACGGCAAAATCGACTGTCGTTCCATCAAAACCGGAGAAGTCTTATTCAAAGACACTATGAGCACGGGAATTTCTGGAGTAGTAGAAGGTGACTACCGTTCGATTGGAAAAACTGACATCATTTGTGCCTCCTGTGAAGGAGAAGGTAAGTTTTACCTTGAAAGTATACAGCATACACACCAAATAAACAAACTTCCAAAGTCCGAGGGTACACTACGACAAAATCATTGTCAACACCTCCCGGATCTGGCCTAGAGCAAGAGACCGTCAGAGAATTGCTAGCGAGAAAACAAGCTCTACTTTTAGAACTGAAACACTACGACAATAACACGAAGTATAACGAGAACGCGATCAATCAGATGGAGAGTTACGAAAACAATGGGGTGATTCCTGCTAATACTAGGTTGCAGATTGGGATTGCGACGAGCGAAGAAGACTCAAAATCTGTAAGACAACGTACTCTATATAAATAAAAATACGTCTGAAACACTTTTTCAGAATCAAGTGGAGATTTACGTTTCGACTAACAACACTACCGTCATCAAAGCTGTTGTTATCTTTGCTGAAGGAATCTTCAAGGGGGAAACGCATGTTGTGCACCCCCCAAACTCGAAACTCAGTTCTGATTTGTTGATTCCATTGTCTATACCGAGGGATGCACCTGTTGACATTCACATCAAGGTAGTAATAAAGTTTCATATTAATCTTTTACTCAAAACGAAAGCTAACTTTGGCATTTAGGCTCTCGTGGGTTACACTAACAGCGTCCAGTTCCACGTTTTCGAAATCACAAGACAGCTCCCGCGCTTCTCTATGTATTCGCTTCTAAGAAAAACGACTTCAAAACAGTTAGATAGCTTTGTAGAGATCAAAATAAATGAGAGACTCCAGAGAATCTGTATGTGGATCAATCAGAATTTTCTTTTGGCAAATGATATCGAGGCCGAGAATGGACCTACGCTCAAAGTGCATTTAAAGTGTTTGAGAGATAAGTCTGAACTCACTATGTCGTTTGACGTTTCAGGAAAGACTGTTTTTTATACGGAGAAGATGTCCCTTGCGGCTGATTTGGTACAATCTGTGGCTACATTTTTGAAAATTGAGAATTTACAGGTGAGTTTTTTCACAAATATTTGCTTTATGGTGTTAAAAATTGAGTCCACAGTCAAAAGCGTCGTTTCCAAAAGAAGAAGAAAACTTGACGATTTGTATGGAGAAGTTGGGCGAAATTCAAGATGCTCGTCTGAGGTTAGGAACAGATGTGGCAGATCGTTTAGGGCAGATTCGAGCATATGTGATAAGAGCCGAAGATAGTCGACTGAACGACTTGTAGGTGTCTTCACTGTGCTACATTTACGTACTTTGATGTCTCAATGGTTTCAGACAAGAGATGCCAAAATACTACAACGAACTCAACAAACTCAATAAAGAACTAATCAGTAGCTACAACATCCGTCTACACAACTACAACGAAGGTTTAGAAACAATGAAGACCATCAACTCCATCATTCAAAAAGCGTCACGACTCAGAGTGGGACCAAACTCCGCTAATATGATAAACTACTGCAGACAAGCTATCAAAAACAACAACATCGAAGGTCTTTTAAAAATCATCCGAACCGGAGAAATGTAACAACAGTAATAAAATTTATTAAAAAAAATCTACTCAAAGTCTGATCTTTCCACTCATAATGTCATCGTATTTTTCATTACTTAGTTGTACGTATGTTACGTTTTTAGCATCATATAGGAACAATTTATCTTTGATTTTTTGTATGTTGAAACCATCTTGTTGAAGATCGGTTTTCTTCAACTTGAAAGTACCAGTCAAAGGCACCGCAGTCATCACCCTTACAAACAATGGGATGGCGTACGAAGGTAGATTCTCTTTCAAACCTTTACAAAGTTTCGCCATGTCTAAACTATCCGTGGTGTCGACAATAGCTGCCATACCAGCACGACCTTCGGTACCGGGTATCTGGAAGAAGAAATCAGAACAGATGGTATAACAACGGCACTCTTACCTCAACACCATACACCACAGCATCACTCAAGTTAACCACGTTACTAATAACAGCCTCAATTTCAGAAGTGGCGACGTTTTCGCCCTTCCACCTAAAAATTTCTGATTAGAAATCTTGCATTTTTTCACAAGTACCAACCTAAAAGTATCCCCAGTTCTATCCTTGAAGTAAAAGTACCCCAGCTCGTCTTGTACCAAAACATCGCCTGAGTTAAAGTAGAGATCCCCTTTTTTGAACACGTTCTCGATTAGTTTCTTTTGGGTGGCTTTCTTGTCAGCGTATCCGGTGAATTCATTGATGGCTTTCTTCGCGTTGACGTTGCCCAGCAAAATTCCGACTTCGCCAGGTTTGCAGCTCATGCAAAAGCCATCGCTTCCTCGGATTGGATCTCCTGTGGCTTCGTTGCACTTGATAAGGGTTACGGGGTACAGAAAGGTGGCGTATCTTGGAATGAAACCTACGGCACCGACTTTGCTGTCGATGTTGACTAAAAGATGAAGGTTGTTAAGCGTCTAAGTGGTTCTAAAGTACTTACTTAAGTTAGAGTTGCCTTCGGTTGCACCGTAGAATTCGTATACTTGTTTAACATTGAATTTGTTGATGAATTGTTTCCAAATTTGGGGTCTTAGACCATTTCCTATAATTTTTTTGACGGAGTGAGATATGACTTCTTTGTCTTTGGTGTGGGCTAACAGGATGTAGCGACATATTTCGCCGATGTATTGAGCTACCTAAAAGTAGAAAGAATTAACAAGAATTATTTTAAAGATTTAAAAAAATTAAACGTGATTACAAATGCATGTTTTTATTTATCTGTTAGAGAGAATTCATCAATCGCGATATTGTTTTAGATTATGATAAACTGTTATTAAGGCTTATAATGTTGCCAGATTGATCCCACGTTGCTAATTAATTTTGTAAACGATAGGAGATTAACAAGAAACTGTTTATTGGATGTTTTGTTAATTTAAAACGCTACTACTTAAAACGAACCGATTGTCATTAGCGTTTATTTACAAAATTCAAGTTTTATATTTTACTTGGACGTGTATGTTCGCTAGTTCTTAGAGCTATAAATTAATTTAAGATTTCATGTTCAGAAATTACCCTTTGGGGAAGATTAAAATTAAAAGTCGTTTGCTTTGACCGTATCATCTAGAAACATTCTTTGGTTCAACAAAACCCTTCCTACCTTAACGTATGAGAGATGATGATGTCTTCACTCTGCTTTTAACTCAGATTTTATTTAAGTGTTAAATACGATTTTGCATTAAAAATTAACATTTATAAAGAGGTTTCTCTGTTTCCGTGTTTTGTTTGTTCTTATTTATGCTCTTTCTTAGCTGTTTTATCACAAATATCTGAAAATACTGCCAGTTGTTTTTTTACACAACGTAGGTCTCCATTTTGATAGTTGTGATTGATAATAACGTCAAACAAAAATAAACCTAAGTAATGTTGAGAAAAAAACAGACCTAAACCTACGATAATATACATATAACGATCAAGTAACGAAGAATAATAGCAGTACTTAATTAAGATAATCGTTGCAATGAGACACATGGAAAAATAATAAACACTAGCATTTTAAAATTTTTATAGAAAAACGAAGTGAACAACCAAGACACAGCAACACGACAAGATCAACTGATTTCAAAAATATAAGCCAGAAAATCGAAAACTGCATTATTTATTATAACTTTAATTGCTAACTTCCTTAATTTTAATTAAAACACAGCACAGTCTAGTATTTTTTGTAACATAACCATAAATTAGTTTCCAATATTCTGCATACACTTTTTGTTTTCATGGTGTAATTACTTACACGGTAAACATTAAACTAACTGGTAAATTAACTTTTGAAGTCTGTCCTAGTAACACAAACGCAGAATTTTCTACTTAGTTGTATGTTTGATTTTATTGTTGTTCTGTTCACATATTTATTATAAGTACTTAATAAAAAATTAATGTGTGAAATATTTAAAGGGATAAATTAAAAAGAAACTGGTTTATCGAGAACACAAAGAATCGTTAGAACTAATTTAGAACGTAGGCTACAAAGCTATCAAAACGAAATACAGGAATAATGAAGTTAATTGTTGTAATTTATGTTCAAAAATGTGGCATGCATTAATTTATAATTCTATTTCGCAGAAAAAATATTTAATAGGTAAATTTTATATTAGCTACATTTTTTGTATACAAAAGTTCAATTTAAATTTCATGTTTTTCCTGTTGTGTGTAGAACGAAAAAGTAGGATGTTCTCCTTGATTAGAATTTAGAACTAAGGTAAAACGACAATTTGTATTTTTGCATTATGTAACAATAAATATAAAAGCCAAAACAAAGACAGCATTTTACACGAAAAATTCACGTGTGAAACAATAATGTGAAATAAAAACTTCAAACAATAGAAAAATACAAGCTAATAATAGAAGAATAAATATGCTAAACTTGAATACGCAGTTGCAAAAAAAAAAAAAAATGCAAAACTGCTTTATTACACGCGAAAACAAAAAAAAAAGTGTCTTGAAAATAAAATAAAAAACTAGTCGAAGGATAATTTCGACAACTTCGCTTGCCCCTGAAGCCCTGAAATATACTACAATAAATCCAGATTTTTCTAAAAATTGCAGTATTTGATTTTTTTATAATAATAAGTTAAAATAAAGAGACGTATGTAATATTAAAGTAAATGTAAAGAAGCGTGTTACGCGTTTGTTTCAAGTAAATTTTTCCACTTAAAATTTTGTGACGACGTCGTCAACATTTTTGCAATTTCGATAGCTATAGGATATCAATTTATAGATGCAGTGTAATATTAACAATAACAGTATTCCCCAATTCATTTAATTAATAAAATAAATTGCTTCATTCATTAATTTTTTGAGTTATCTGTATAAGTAATTCTAAAAATTATGAGTGCAGTGATCAACCACAAGTATAGAATACTGTACATATTTCAGAAAAGATTTATTCGGCAAAATTTTCAGATGACGTCATAAAACGGGATAAATCAATAAATTTTGATTAACGATTTACCTTGATTTCGATAACCTATGTTGTTATACAATTTTGATTTTTTTTTAAATCTGGATGTATAGGGTGAAAATTCAACACGGATTCAAACACACAAGTGCAGAAGTATCTTATTTAATAAAATTAAAACAAATTTATTGCTTTAAATTTTAGAGATGACGTCATCCCATTGGTGATGGGGATGATGAGCCAAATTTTGGTTAGCGTTTTAGCATGTACATGATAGTCCTAATATATATGCACAATTTGACAACAGTCGGTCGAGTAGTTTCGGAGATTATCTGTCTAAGAAAAATCGACACAGACAGACGGAAACGGGAGACCAGTTTTTTGTACCTTTGTGGTCATGAAACGTCAAGAAGTGGCAAGTTGCCCGATGGACTCGATTATGCTCAGATAAAAATGGAAATAAATAGTGTTAATCCTTGACACGAAATTAACTATATTCACAATAGAAGAATAATGACAGATAGTTCAACATTGAATACGTCAAAGAAATAAAAAAAACTCACCGTGCACTTATACTTGGCACAATCGTTCCAGAAGTTAGAAGCAGAAAACTTCCTCCTAATGACCACCGAAATTCCTCTAACAACAGACTGTCCGATCCCTACTATCCCACCAGCACTATGATAGAGTGGTAAAGGGTCGTAGACAATATCATCCTCTTCGAGTGCCGTCATGTAATGAAGACCCAACGCCATAAACAAATATCTCATATTTGTGATAACAGCTGCTTTCGGAAGTCCTGTAGTACCCGATGTATAAATAAACACTAGCCTATCTTGAGGCACTCCTTTCTCTAAATCTTTAACAGGGGAGGCATCCGACTGCTTCTCCAACTGTCTACTAAGATCCACAGAACCATCCAACACTTCAGTACGATCTTTTTGCTCACCCAATTCGTACAACTTTGTATTTGTTATCCTGCTACAAATATCTTTGATTCCTACAACACTACACTAGTACAATTAACTGCCAAAAATGTTGTCGTGGTACCTTTCTTTAACGAAGCTCCATAAATCACAGCCTTGGCAGACGACACATTTATCGAATGTACTAACGGATCGGCAACAAGGTTGTGGTTGATCAGGGCTGTAACGACCCCAATTTTGCCTAAACCGAGCCATATGCATACGTATTCAGGTCTGTTTTCGAGCAAAAGGGCCACAGTGTCTCCTCTTTGGAAGCCCTCCTTCTTAAAGTAGTGCGCTACTTTGTTACTGTATTTTTCTACCTGGAAGTTGGGTTTAAGGGCAATTTTGTCACAAGAATTTTTCTTACGTCTTGGAATGTCCACACTTCGTCTTCGAAGTAGAAAGCTGCTTTGTTTGGATGTTTCGAGACGAGTTTTGTGAAGAGTTTGGGTACGGTTTGCCTAGTTTGTTGGTACCGCCATAGGTAGAAATTAACGAAAGTAAATCTTATTCCTGCTCTGAAATTCAGAACAATTTTATGTCATAACAAATAAGTACATGTAATAAAAATAAAAATAATGGGTTGACACAGTTTAAAAAAGATTTACTTAGAAAGCTCTTGAGGAGATGCCATCAAAATTTGGGTGAGGATGAAGAAGAAAACTGAATTAACAATTTACTTGCTAGCCTTAAAGTATACTCAAAATTTAACAAAATCGCTAACAGACAAAGGGAAGAAAGACTCGCAAAAGATAGACGGAATCGGTAGTAAAAAACAAGAAATTGAATGCATGGGAGAAGTTCCTAGGCCGAGTAATCCAATATTTCTTTCCCCGATAAACATTATTAATCAGAATACGTCTCACAAGTGGTACAAATATAAAACCCGTGTTTTGTATACAGCCAATGAATAATCGAGCAGTCACTTTTGAATCATATGATAAAATAATATCTCAATTAAGTTTTTTTCCAGCCGTAACGTTCTTCCGTTTATACAAGCATTTTAATAAATTGTCATTGTGTTTACTTCCATTATCTCGGTCGTTATTTGTCAGGCAACTGATTTTTTTCTAAATTGACGCAAATTATTACCATTCATTATTCAGATATCGACCAAATTAAGGAATTAACGAAATGTTTTTATGCACATTCATTGTTACAATTGTGTTTTGGACTTTGTTACATTCTTCCACAATAGTTACATTATCACAGAGGTCAAAGAATAGATATAATGAAAACAGATAAGGACGGATATAGTACACAATAGATTAAAAAAATGTTGGTTTTTGATGAGTGTGTTTCGATTTTAATAGAAATATGCAGACAAGCGTCTCTCGTAATTTAAACCTTGAATAAAAACATGAAGATAAGTTCCAATTTAAAATTGCCAGTGCGTTAGCCGAAACCTAACAATTAAGTAATAAATGTTAAGAAACTTCAGAGACGTAATAGCGCAACGTGACACTCTTACCCGTATGTTATAAATAAACTAGTTAAAAAAAGTACTCACCGTATATCACGTCCTAAAGTCTTGTACAGAATATAAAGCCATCTGTACCGTTTATTCGTGAGCAGAAAAACTGTCGATAAAATTAGCGGCAAAATCGTAAAGATCTGAAAACAAGGCAAGTTTTTATGTTGTTTGATGATTTCTTTATGCATAGGTTACCATTTTCAAGGTTTGTTGTATAAATACCTATTTAGTACCGCTGATACACTCATCACACTATTACTTAACAACCTATGAACTGTTAAAGATTCAATAAACTAATAAGAGTGTGTTCGCAAGTTCGCATGGTACATAGAGCGTGATGTAATGAAGTCGGTCACCGTCGACTCGTTCCGAACAAGTTGGGTATTGTGGATGATTGATCAAGCCGATATTATCACGAGTGCAAATATTTCAATGTATGTAGTATATAAGAGTAAACTGTTTGTGATTGATTCACTAATTTCAAGCGAGAAATGAGCTATTCGAAAATACGAGATCTGACTGAATTCTCAAAAAATCACATACTAGTTTACTGCAATTTTATTCGTAACAATGGAAAATGAACCAATCGTGCATTTTAACAGTGTTTATAACAGTAAAATTTTATTAGACTGGAAATCACTTAGCCTCGGTTTTTTCAGACAGACGTTGACTCGATTTAAAATGCAAAGCGACAAAATACTTAAGTATACACAAAAAACAATACGTCGAAAAAATATGTAAATCAAAGGATTTGTGTTTTTTAATCGTCTACATTTGTCTATGCATTCTGTAAAAACACTTGTACATTATACAACCGTACATAAAATTGTTATCATTCTACTTATTTTTCACTCCAACGCAAAAACTGGGGTCTTATAAATTTGATCACTGTGTGTTTGTCTATGGTACCGTAGCTCTCAAATGGATGAACCGATTTCACCGCGTTTTTTTTTTGTTTTATTTGAAAACTGATGTAACTTGGTCCTCATGGTCTTGGACCGTAAAAAAAAAATAACTGCATATGTACAGGCTGTTCAAAAGGGTGCACTAACTGTTTAGTACGTTAATCAGTATCTAAAAACCAACAACTGACACAGGACTTTCGAGGTCATTATGGTTCCACTGCAAAGATACAGCCCCTTAAAAGAATACATACATAACATACCGTTGGTTTCCGGTGTGTATTGGAAAGTAAAAACTACGATGCAATTTACATTCCAATTAGTACGTTTGAGTTAGGTTGTGCAGATCTTCTACTTCTAATAATTAAAAACGCAACATTAACCTATCTAAAAGATATTGCAAAAAACGTAAAAAAAAACGATTTAGTATAGCATCGAGGTGCAACAACGATATCATGTGTGGTTGCTAAACAGCGAACAATATTTGTAAAAATAAGCAACTGTCAGTAAAAGTATCAAACGCCATTGTTTGTTGAAAATGTAATCTTATAGTTTGTAATTCCTTTTCCTTTACGAAATATTGTGATATTTAGTCCTTGATCGATGTGACATGAATTTTAGCCGAGCTGCAAGACAATATGCACAAATTTATTCAGACCGTCAAGGATTTGATAAAAACATGTTCCAGAGAGTTGACCAGCGCTTACATGTGAAGGGTTGCTTAAAACCTCATATGTTTAATAGAGACTATGGACTGTCAAGAACGCTGCGTAATCCGGAAACTGATGGAGCAGTTCTGGAAGTCGCAAACGAGCAGCTTGAAATTAGTATCATTAACAAAAACAGGTCATGTCGGCATTGGTCCTACATTAGTTCATAGGTACTGAAGAGTAAGCATTATCATCCTTACCACTATACTTGATTATAATAAGCGTTAGGAAAAGATGTCGCTGTTAGAAGTGTTGATTACTGTCTTTACAAAAAGTGGAAGAAGGTTCAAATTTTACTCGATACGTTTTGTGAACAGGGAAGCTACATTCACCAGAGAAGGGATTTTCAGTAATCATTACTCATGCACAATAATCATCATTATTGGTCCGCAGAAAATCTTCACGATATGCGTCAAAACCGTCACCGACGAAAATTTTCAGTTAACATTTGGGCTGGAATAGACCATTTATTTTCCCTAATAGTGTCGATGATGTGAACATTTTCATTTTTTTTTTAATGAAAAGCTTCAAATTATAATGGAAAATTTGCCATTACAATTGATTCGGGATATGTGGTTGCTTGATGGAGTCCCTGTTCACCACGGAAGAGACCTTGTACTGTCACATATTTTTACTTTTAATTTCGTCATGGCCATTTATGATGAAAAATTATCATGATCTTTAGATTACAATGTTGCCAATTTAGCTGTGTTAAAAAAATCTTTTGCACTCGCGGGAGTAAAAGTCGTTTTTCATGACCGCAAAATCTGGAGAGAAATAGAACATTTGCTCTCTAGGTAGAGATAGAATATTTGCTCCCTAGGGAGAGAAATACATAAACAAATTTAATTTACGAGGCAACAAATTCAGCACAGCAGCTTCACCAGCATCACATATCTCTTGCATTTTGACCGAAAAAAATCACAGTTATTGTTTACAATTTTTTTCATTTTGGTCGTCATGACTTACGATCCAAAGGATATTATGATTACTATTCTATTAATCATATCATTTTTTATCAGTTGAAAGACTGTGTAGGAGTCTCTGCGAGTTTAAAAAATTGTATGTACGCCTCAGAAGTGAAATGCCATTTTTCTCCCTCGATGTATAATCTACGATTATATCTTGCAAAGTCAAAGTGTTAGTTTTTTTTGCATTTTTCTTTAGACCGTATACAGTTACTAGAAACTTTGGTCCGCCATAGATGACGTTTCTATAATATCAAGTCATTCTGTCAGTAGTTAGGTATACATAATTATTATACACATAATTGCAATAACTCAATCATTAATTCTCTAGACTTCTCCAGGTCTTTTTTTGGTGATCGCTACTAGCAAACTAGATTCATGCTTCATTTGTTGTAAATGTTATGAAAACTTTAAATTTTCATTTAAATTAGTAACACCAAGTTAATGTCTACACTTTTTGATTTACCAGATTTTGAAAATAAGTATTAATATGTCTTTAACACATAAATTTGTGGTTCACCACGAACAAAGATTTATTTTATTTTCATTCTAAAAATATTTAGATAAACCACCACCACCACCTTTTCGCTTAGAACTTAATTTTCCCGGACATGATGTCGCCATATTTCTCTTTGGTAAGCACTACGTATGTCTTCTCTACCAGATCGAGCACATACAATGGTTCTTGGATTTTTTCAGTATTGAAACCTTCTTTTCGTAAGCGTACCTTCTGCAATTTATAAGTACCAGTCACTGGTATATGCTGTACTGCTCTCACGAATAGCGGAATAGCATAAGAAGGAAGATTGACTTTTAAATCTTTGTAGAATTTTTTCATGTTTAACGATCGACTTCTGTTTATGAAGGCTACCATACCAGCTCGACCTTCTGCACCTGGCACCTAAAAACAAAATGTAAGTTTAATTTTGGAATGTCCATATTTTCACCTCTACTCCATATACGACAGCATCGTTTAGATTTAGGAGATTCGTTATTACGGCTTCTACTTCTGTAGTGGATATATTTTCTCCTTTCCACCTGCAACTTTAAAAATTAGCTTGTTTGCTACTAATAATTGAAGCAAATTTTTGAGTTGGCAATTCTGAATTATTGGCAGCAATGTTAGCATGTCAGTTATCAATTTCGACATGAGCGCGCCTAAAAACCAATTTTACATCACGCAGGTACCTATGCCATCATAAAATTTTAAGTTTGTTGCCAACCTCACAAAAAAGTCACAAATATCAATAGTCATCGGTAGTTAAAACCAAAGTATTAATACAATGTCAAAAATAGCGAAAGTAATAGGTACCGATATTTTGATTGGTATTTTCACCTCATAACAATATGGCTTTCGAAAACGATTAAATACCATGCATTGCCTCTAGTTAATAATGTAAAACAAAGTTTTAAGCAGAAGAAAGCATATTGTGTAATTTGTACTTACTTAAGTTCTGCATTTGATTGTGTTGATGATAATATTTTATTAAACAAGCTAGGTCACCATGGAGCGAAGGAAAAATGTTTGAAATTTTTACAACATATTTATCAGAACGCATTCAGCACCTGATTATACATGATCAGATTAGTCAAGAAGTCAAAATACCACGAGGAGTCCCACAGGGTGCCCTTTTGTTCCTTGTCTACATTAATGAGTAATGACTTAGCAATCAACATACCACAAACAAATCTTACTGTATTGTATCCACATGACATTTAGTTTTGTGTCAGTACGGACGAGGAACCAAATAATGACAATGACCAACAATGACTAAACAGCTCCAAATACATTAAAATGAATGAGCAACTGATTTACAGCTAATAAAGTTGTTTTAAACAAAAAAAAGGCAGAAATCCTGAAATTTCAAAATAGTAATGTGCAACCAGATACCGAAATAAAAATTTTTGGAATATATTTAGACAAGAGACTTTCTTGGAACGAACATTATTTGTAATAAATTAACTTCCACTATCGCTATATGGGATGACACATCTACTTGTTTCCCTACAAAAGGCAGCTATTAGGGCGATGGCCTCTATAGATTACAATTTTAGCTTTGGAAATCTCTTTCTAACATTGGAAATTATGATGTTATTCCGCATGATAGTGTTGGAAAATTAATTTGTGTGAAGAAACATATTGTTATCTCACTTCTTTTTTGGACTGTAGTAACAGGTAATAAAAACATAAAGCAATGTAATTTCTACTACTCTTACCTAAATGTATCTCCCGCTCTGTCTGTAAAATAAAAGTAGCCGGAATCATCCTGGACTAGAATATCTCCTGAATTCACGTATGCGTCCCCTATTTTAACAACATTTCTGAGTATTTTTTTTTCGATATCGTTTTCATTTAAATATCCAACAAACCCGGAAGATTGGTTTTGAGGATCCATTTTTCCTATTAGTAATCCAGATTCACCAGCTTTGCACACTTGGTAAAAACCGTCACTTCCTCTCAGCGGCAAACTTGTATCTTCGTCAAATTTAATTAGTTTAACGGGTGACATAAATGAAGACCATTTAGGAAAAAAACCTACAGCTCCTACTTTGTTGTGACTGTTTACTAAAAAATTCAGTGTTATTGAGTGTACGAAAACTTTCCGATAATGTAACTTGTAAACACATTTCCGTCTATAGCTGTATAAAATTCGTATACATATTTTATATTAAACTTGTTGACGAATTCCTCCCAAATTTGTTGTCGTAGACCATTACCAATAATTTTCTTTATGTGGTGATGCATGCAAAACTCTGTAATAGCGTGCGCTGCCATAGAGATCTCAGACTGGAGAGACGTTAGAGAGAGAGGGTACGGTGACCATTTGAGAGGTCTGAATCGGTAGGCAAAACAGAGCAACTTCCAGTTAAAATTTACTTTTAATTACTCACTTCCTGGTGTGTGTGGCATTTCTGTGCAGTTCTAAAGCGCTTGTTTTCTTACAATCGCAATAATAACAATCATATTCACGATGGTTATATCTTGTTGCGCATTTGGATGCGAGGAGCGGCATCACAAAGGCTGTAATATTTCATTTCATCGGTGAGATATCTGCTGAATAATTTTTTCATACAATCTTTATTTCATTTAATTTCAGTTTTCCGACAAATCTGTTGCTAAGAAAGCAATGGATTGTTGCACTTTAACGAGATAAATTTGTTCGGACGTCTGCGTCAAGAGTGTGTAGCAAACATTTTAAAAATGAGAATTTTCGGCAGTTAACAAATTCTGTTAATCCCACACAACAACTGAGAATTTTAAAAAAGGACGCAGTACCATTCATTTTCAATTTTTCAAAACATAAAAAAAATGAAACAAGGCCTAGAAAACTGACTAATAATGAGACCTTTTCGGCACTGCTAAATTTAAAAAAATAGAGGTGGACTACAAAGCCATCAGTTGATGTCGTCAAAGTTTGTAAGATAGCTGAAACCACTTTCAGAACTATGAAATATAATATTTCAGCGAATGTTATTAATATTTTTACAATTAAAGAATTAAAACCATTAGATTACTAAATTTCAGAAATATGTTTAATGTCTTAAATGACCACATTTTGGATCAAGATCCACTTAACAATCATGTAGTCCAGTTGGTTTATGTAATTTTACGTACTTTTTTTATTATTAGACTGAATTATGAAAACAGCAGAAATAATCAAGTTCCTAATAAAATCAGACAGGTATACACAAAATTAATTTTGTTCAATAAATTGTGTATTTATATTCATTTTGTATTGTATGTATATACAGTTTCCTACAAAATAAAGAAAAACGACAACAAAGCTGAATTTTAAAATCATTTTTACATGATCTCCTATTTAACTCAACGGCACCGAAGCTCGTTCTTGCCTACCGATACGTGTTGGCCTTGTCTAACAACACTCCCTGTAGATATGTTTATTTCTCTCTCTAGTTGTCACCGCATGCGAGCGGTATTATGCGCCTCAACATTCCATCCATTAGTTATTAGATCATTGGTGCGCTGCTAATACGTACCGACAAATTTCACCTATATACATGAACACACATCCGCCACGTTAAGATGGCGGGCGGTACAAGCAACGAAAATCCCCCGTGGAAACGTTGTAAGAAATCACCTTTAATAAATGCAATAAAATGCATAAAATGTGACAACAGCTTTCACGAAAGTTGTGCCAAACTGTACGTCAATGCAAAAACCGTGAACAAAAGTGCCTATTCGTGCTGTGAAGAATTATCCCATCCGAAGGCTGATGACAACCTGGACATTTTCTGGGACGCCACAGATGATAATCATGAAAAGGTACTTGACTCAAGAATCTTCAAATATATATTGCGACAAAAGGACGAACTTATAACAGCATTGCGAGAAAAAAATCTTCTCCTAGAAGAACAGCTGCTCCTAATAAAATCAATCGGCAAAGATAAGAACCAGCCAAAAAAACAAAATCATACGCTCGATATCAGTGCGGATGATAAGCACGAAAAACGCGAAGAGGCGACGACCCAGACAAGGAACGGCAAAAAAGTGGAAAACGCTATTCCCATCCACCCAAAGAGAAAAGAAGGGAATCTTGAAGCAGCCTCAAGCCGTAATCAAAATGGGGACCAAACCCTCAAAAACGACAAACCACTCACAGATAACTGGACCGAGATCAAAAGTAAACGAAAAAGTAGGAATTCTGTGGGCATAACGGGAAAAGGAACAGGGAAAGGTGATATTCAACTTAAAGGCGCTGAGAAAAAGTTGTGGATATGCCTCTCTCGCACTGCCGAAAATACATCCACAGAGGATGTCCTAGAATACTTAAAATCAACAACGTCGGATCATGATTTTGTCTGTGAAAAACTACAAACAACAAGAAGTAAATTCCCAGCCTTTAAAATCGGCGCTCCATGGCAGCTTAAAGAAGTTCTAGGAAATGAAAATTTCTGGCCCGAAAACGTCAGAGTGAGTAGGTACAATTTCCCTTTTCCCCGAATAACCAAGAAGCCGCCGGCCACATAGTATTCAAATCTAGTAGGGCAAAGCATGACGATGCTATTACCATAGCTCATATTAATGTACAATGTCTAAGAAATAAATGCCTCGAAATCGAACATTTTCTGCACGAACACCCGAATATCAAAATTTTAGCAATAAGCGAACACTGGCTGAAATCACAAGAAATAAATTGTTATAACTTGAATAATTTTAACATGACGACCAAATTTTGTAGAACGACTTATATAAATGGTGGCGTGTGCATATATGTGCTACAATCCATTAAATGTGTAGAGATACCAATTATTGTAAATATGTCCGAGGAACGTACTTGTGAATTAGCTTCCTGTTATATACCAAAATTTAATCTAATCGTGATAGCCGTATATCGCTCCACACATAAACAAAATATCTCCGAATTTTTAGTAATTCTTGAAGGCGTCTTACAGGCTGCTTACACATATAATCCGCATGCCGCAATTCTACTCTGCGGTGATATCAATATAGACCTTTTGATAAATAATAACAACTCAAAACATCTGAAGCAAGTTTTACAAACGTTTGACCTTCGACAAACAATTTATGGTATTACACGACCAAACATAAATGACGGAGGCACATGTATCGACAATATTTTTGTAAATTTTGATTACATTGCGACTGATATTCTTGATTTGGGCAGGTCTGACCACAAAATCCAAACTTTAACTTTACAAACACACAAGGAACCCGATAAAAATGACAAGAGTGCAACTTTTAAACGCATTTATAGTGATAAAAATATCAATAAATTCATTTCTCTTTTAAATGAGGCAAATTGGAACGAGGTGTACATAAATTCAAACTGTGAAAGAAAATTCAATTATTTCCTGGAAATATTTTTACATAATTATAATCAGAGCTTTAAAACTAGAATTTTTAATTCAAAAAAAAGGAATGTTACAAAAAGCATTTGGATAAATTCAGAGGTAAAGCAGTCGAAAGAAATATTAATGTTCATTTATAGCGCTTATAAACAACATCCAACAACAACAAATAAAAAAATCTATGAAGGTTACAAGAAACGGCACAATGAGCTTCTACTCAAAACGAAGCAAAAATTTTATGAACAACAAATAAATCAGTCCGATAACAAATCAAAATCTGTATGGACTATCATTTCAGAGGAGACAAAGAGCAGAAACTCTAGAAAATCCAACAAACAACTGCCCGAAAATTGCAACCCAGACAATTTTAATAATTTCTTTTTGGAATATGCGGATAAGCTAGTGCAAAAGATAACTCCAGGGGGCAACACATAGAAGAATTTTATCCAAACCACAAAATCAGTTCCGCCCCAATCGATGTTCTTCCATCCAATGTTAGAAGACGATGTACGTATTATAATAAACAAACTAAAAAATAAATCAACCGAAGATATACTTAATATCAGCGTTAAAATTCTAAAAATATGTAATGCGTCAATTGTCAAACCACTAACAGAAATTATCAATGCTTGTCTATTGCAAGGACATTTTCCTTCAAAGCTAAAAACAGCAAAAATAATACCAATATATAAAAAAGGAAATATTAATGAACTAAAAAACTACAGACAAATATCTATTCTGCCAGCCTTTTCTAAAGTCTTTGAAACGGTTATATCAAATCAACTCCTTAAATTCTTTGAAAAACATGGCATTTTTACATCAGAACAATATGGCTTCCGAAAAGGATTAAGCACCATTGATGCTGTACTATCTCTCGTTAACTATGTGAAACAAAGTTTTGAAAAGAAGCAAGCATGCTGCGCAATTTTTACTGACCTAACGTCTGCATTTGATTGTGTGGACCATAATATTTTATTATACAAGCTAGAATACTATGGTGTGAAAGGAAAATGTATAGAAATGCTTACTTCATATCTATCAGAACGCACTCAGCATGTGGTTATAAACGATAAGGCTAGTCAAGAAGGCAAAATATTACGAGGAGTCCCTCAGGGATCAATACTTGGTCCTATTTTGTTCCTTGTCTACATCAACGACCTAGCAATCAATATGTCACAAACAAATCATACAGTGATGTATGCAGATGACACTTCGTTCTGTGTCAGTGTGGACAAGGAACAAAATACCGACCAGGTATCTCAAAATATAATAGAATCGGCGGGAATTTGGTTTGCAGCAAATAAATTCGTTCTAAACAAAAACAAAACAGACATCATGGAATTTCAAAATTGTAATGTGAAAGCAGATAACGAAATAAAATTTCTTGGACTCTACTTAGATAATAGACTCTCCTGGAATGCACATATTGAACATATACGAGGGTGGGGTGACAACTACCGGGCCTCACATAGATGTGAGAGTAATATGGTCAGTATAATGATGCCATTCCATAATTTCATCCTTCATCAGCTTCCCTTAGAAATTTCATGTCAAAATGTCATTTAGTATTTTGATGGCAGTCCTTCACATTAGATGCGTCGAGCAATTCTCACAACATGGAAAAAGTGGAAATTCGGGCAGTGATTAAATATTTTTTTTTGAAAGGCCTGAAGGCCAGTGAAATAAAAAAAGAGTTGGATACAACATTGGCAAACTCCTCTCCATCGTATACAACGATTAAACGATGGGTTGCTGAATTTAAAATGGGCCGGATCAGCACAAATGATGAACCACGCAGTGGGCGCCTTGTTGAGGTGACCACGCCAGGAATTATAGAAAAAATTCATAAAATCGTCTTGGCTGACCGTAGAGTGAAGGTGAGGGAGATAGCAGAATCTGTAAGGATCTCAACAGAGCGTATACGAAATATTTTACATGAACACCTAACAATGAGAAAGCTTTGCGCCAGGTGGGTGCCGCGTTTGCTCACCCCAGACCAAAAACAGCGTCGTAAGGATGTTTCGGCTGATTGTTTGGCCCTCTACAGGCGTAATCCAACTGAATTTTTACGTCGTTTCATTACTGTTGATGAAACGTGGGTCCATCACTACACCCCCGAAACAAAACAGCAGTCGAGACAGTGGACCATGAAAGGAGAACCTGCTCCAAAGAAAGCGAAGACAGTTGCAT